CTTTAAAATGTCTTTTAATAACGACTGAAAATTTGAACAAGATATAGAGAGAGAGTGAACTAATAGAGTAGGAATTGAGAAAAACGACCGAAACTTTCGTTTTTATTGCCGACCTGTCGTATTTGTCAGGGAAAATTAGCTCGATACAAAAAATCACTAGACGAAATTAGAGAGAGACACTTAACGCGATTCAACATGTTCCATTTATATTAAATATCCTGTCAGTGATATAAGGAAGAAAGCTGTTAAAGAATTTCAGAAGATTCAAGACAAATCAATGATGTATTTAATTACTGGATGCAATCTTTCAAAAAAAGCTATTTCAGGATTATAAAATCAAAGCATATATTCTAAAAAGATTGAAGAATTAGTATAGACTGCTAAAACAGAGAAAGATGGAGCAGTCAAAATGTCTTAGAATATAATCAACTAGCAAATCAAGGATTATAAAATGGGTTCAGATTAATCAATAGTAGTTGACTATATTGAAAGAAAAATTAATCACGAAATATTTACCACTGCATCATTCATCAAAAAGTTCTTAGTGCGCATAAACTTCCAGAAGAAATTTGCGAAGTTATGGTATTGATGATTATATAAAATTAGCATCTTCATTACAGCTACAGTTCTTAAGGTATCTGACTACGTTCGGAACCGTGATTTTGCAAAAGCGTATAAATGGATAATTTTCATGATATTTAATATCACTTAGATTAGGAAATGTATATAAAATTGTTGTAAGAATAGTATAACAATAAAAAATTATTTAAGTACACTATTTTGACAAAAAATAAACATAGAATGATCCATTTTCAAAATATTCTCCTTTTGCGAAAAGTGCTTCTATTATAATAATATTTTGCCTGTATATAGCTCAGACCTCCGTACTGAGGCTCAAGTAGAATTTTTGAAATATATAACTTAGAAGTGGGTTTATCCATGTGTTTTACTCCATAGTTGATCCTCTGTACAGAGATATACAGGCAAAATGTTATTATAATAGAAGCTTTTTTCACAAAGGAGAACATTTTGAAAAAAGGTTATTTTAAGTTAAATTTTTTGCCGAAATATTGTATTTAAACAATTTTTTTTGTCAAAATATCCTTAAAACAATTTTATACATGTATTCTAATCTAAGTGACACTAAATATCATGAAAATTATCCATTTATGTGCTTTTAAAATCACGGTTCCGAACGTAGTCGGATACCTTAATCATCACCAATATAAAATTTTTTTAGTTAAAATGGAGAGTGAGAACGCGCTCTGTAACAGGATACGTTTTGAAACATCGAAGAGAAAATTTTTTGATAACATTTCGCTTCCTTATTGACAAAAGAGGGTGTTTACTGTACGGAAATAACAAACTTTAAATTTTATTTCATGTTATACTTTACGTCTCATCTAAATCAACTTAATAGGAAAAAGAAACACAATTATTTCAATGTTAGAATAAGTTATGTCATTCGAAAATAAATTGTATCTTCTTGCACAAGATATTGGAAGAGAAACGCTGATTCACAGTCCAATCCCGTTGAAATATCAGCATGAAAATAATTCTGCTATATTGAAATTTGCTACTTCAAAACAACTCTTTTAAATATGAGAGAAGCCGTTATCCAACTAGTTTCAGAAACGAGAGTTACGTCTTCGTTAAAAACCTCGTCAAGTCACTGAAGCGGAATTAAACGTGAGGGCGCCATGGATATGGAATTCATACTCGTTTTCGATGTTCACTCTTTTTACCATGTACAGTGAAAATCGTTTAACACAAAACTGAGGGAACTGAAATATTTTTTCGTGTTAAAAGAATTTCATGTTTTAGAATATTACAAAACAAGTAATATAAAAAAATAGTTTTTAAGTCAATTCCTACTACAACGAAAAATTTTATTTTAAATACTTTTTATTAAATAGTTACAATTAATATAAATATGCATATTCATAGGACAGAATCACAACACTAAGTGGTAATTAGTTTTTTTAATTATCATTTAAAGTATCGTATTGTCCTTTTAATTTCAGTCCAAATGAATGCTTTAACACATGAGAAAAAAACCTTTCCAAGTTTTGACACAAGTCTCCAAAAGGGTCGCTAAATCGCCAACGTGGCTGTATTTGTAATTCTTTAAATAATTAGTTTTAATCAATTAATTCTTATTAATTATAATTAAATTATTGTATTGTCATCCAAAATGATCCTGTATATAAAATTTCAGCACAATTCAGCTCTTTAAAATGTATTTTATGAACGATTGAAAATTCGACCAAGATAAATAAATAAATATACAAATATATAAATAAATAAATAGAGAGAGAGAGACAGTGCGAGCTAATAGTAGGAATTGAAAAAGAAACATACGTTTCACAAAATTAAGTCTAAAAGAGTATATTTTACTTACACAGATATGTATAAATGCATGTATTTTCTAACAGCAATGAAACAAAAACATTGATATGAACTTAGTGAAATTTAATACAAAAGTTTCCAGTTTTTTTGAAAAACAAAACATTTATTGAGTTTTTGGAAGAAAGCTGATATTTTTCTTTTGCAATGTCGTTCTTGGCATTGAATTGTCTACGAATTGTTCAATTTCGTCCATTTTAGTATTCATTTCACCATTAGAATGGGCGTCTAAATAATGACTTGGGAACAGGAACTACATCATACATTTCATTTTCGCCGTCAGGACTTGTATCAAGGATATTTTTGGAGCTTTGAACAAAATGTCTTTACCATAACTGAGGCTGTACACACATTATTATCATTTACTGCAACGAATTCTACCGATGATACAGTTGGACATTCCGATAACGCAGAAACTTTCACAAGAATTTCATTGAGAGTTCCAAAAGCGAAGTTTTTCGTGAAAATCCATTTTCATTTCGTGTTCAGAGAAAAAAAAATGCATGAAAATACATATTAGTATTTCGGGACAGTTGTATTATTCCGCGTTAAAACCGATATTTCTTAAGTGTTTACGCGTTAAACGTATTTCACTGTACTTTTTTAGAGGTTTCCATTTTTCCAACCGATGGAACAAAGCTCGCACCAAAGCCGGTTTCACTCAAGGCAATTTTATGCCAGTCAACTCGTTTTCTGTTACCACTCCTCTAATGTGAAAAGGAGAGAGAATTCTTTTCACACATCGACACAAGTCGACTGAGAAGGGAATGTCGGACTCTTCAGTATAATGATTTTAAGTCCGATGAAGATATAAAAATTTTCTCCATTCTCAATACAGTGGGTGATCGGTTAACGAACGTAATCCGTTCCAAGACTATGTTCGCTATCCGAATTGTTCGTTAACCGATCATCGATTCACCATAGACTTCTAAGTGAAATCGATTAATTCGATCTGGAGACCACCCTAAAAAAATGAAATCAAAACCGAAACTGATGGTCTAATTTGTATGAATATTCTATGGTCTAATTTGTATGAATATTCTATGGTCTAATTTGTATGAATATTCTATTGGAATTTTTTTTCAATATAACTTTGAAGTTTAATAGGTAAGCAACATAATTCAGGAGAGATGAAAAACGATTTTTAGTCCGTTTCTCATATTTATGGCGGTAGTGCGTCACACATCGGCACCTTTATATTTTATAGTCTGCACTGTTTGAAAAAATTAAGAATTCGCTTAATTTATTTGCCATGTCAGCCAATCCACTCGCCCATAACTTATCAGCTGTCAGAAAATATTGATATTCATATTGAAATTCTAATATTCAAGTGTGCATTGATTTTAGTCATAATAATTATTGAATGACCTTTAAATTCATTGTTAATTCAAGTTTCATTTAATAATTATCAATACTAAGCATGCTCTAAACATTTCTCCTTTCAGTGATCTTATTTTGTATGCAAAATGATAACAAATGTTTAATATTCATTTTTTTTCAGAACCGAGAAGTGTTCGTTAGAATTCGTTTTGTTCATTATCCGAATATGTGTTCGTTGTCCAAACACAAAAAATGTTTCTTGCAAGTGTTCGTTATCCGAATATGTGTTCGTTATCCGAATACAAAAATCTTTCTTGAAAGTGTTCGTTATCCGAACACAAAAATCTTTCGTGAAAGTGTTCGTTAACCGATCACCCACTGTACACAAGTAGCCGCTTGTGAAGTGCGTTGCTTCCTCCATATCCTTTTAATTGAGTCAACTAGTGAGTAAGTGAACGTGAACTTCAGGGAGTGCCAGTTAACCACGTATGAAAGAGACCAGAGGAGATTTCTATTCAAACCAACTTCCAACACTCTGCCCCTTCTGCTATGAGGGGCACAAATTGACTGGTGTGAAAGGACCCTAAAACTTGGACCTGAACATGGCCAATAATAAAACAACACAGGTCCATAAATGAAAAAAATTGTTGCGATCAACTCTCTCAGGACTTTCATTGTTATCATTCATTTTATGAATTAAATTTATATTTTTGTTCTTTCTTTCCTTTTTTTCTTTTCTTCGAGAACATTTCTGCCTTTTTGAACAATATTATGGATGAACATTGTTATTGCTTTGTTGTAGAACAGGGGTGGCCGACCCAAATGACCTCACAGGCCAACATTATTATCTCGCGGACCGCATATAAAAATATATATATTTATATTAAATTTGGACCCATTGCAAACATTTGTTGGAGTGAACATTTAAAGCAGATTAACATGTTATTATTGTTCTCATTGTTTTTCATGTATACTAACAAAGATAATATAATAACAAGTATTATAAAAAAAAAATTCAAGTCAATTCCTACTTAGGTCAATAAAGAAAAATTTTATATTTCAGTTACTTTTTATTAAATAATTACAATTAATATAAATATGTATATACGTATGACAGAATCACAATATTAAGTGGCAAAATAGAAATCGATTTTCCTTTCTATATAGGGTGTTGGACTATTATTTTTGTTTTTGCCACTGTTTATTCATTAAGTAAATTTAATTATTCCGATAAAATAGTATAGTAAAAAAAGACACATTCTCAGAATTTAGGCCATCCCAGGTGGGGTTCAAACCTACAACCTTTGGATTTGAAGTCCAACGAGCTATCCATTGCGCTACAGGGAAACTATGAGCGTCTTTCCTTTTTATATGAGGTGTTGGACATTATTTTTGTTTGTTACCACTTCTTCATTTTTTAATTTAATTAATGAATTAATATCTGAAAAACTGTATTAACATCAAGTGTCATCCACTACAAGTTTAAAAAAATTTATTTGAACTTGAATAGATGAATAGAAAGTATTTTGTCAACGATTAAAAATTTGAACAAGATATATATATATATATATATATATACAATAAAAGTGAAGAAGTACTAGAACCTACAATGCTAAGGCAGGAAGAAATTGGAATTCACCAGACACAGCAAATGTAGATACAAAAAAATCTTTGGACTAAACTGGAGACCTATTATGATTTCTAAAGATGTCATTGAATTAGGCCAGCGAATTAGGGTTAGAAATGCTTTATGGATCCACCTTCCCCGTACAGCAGAAACTTTCGACATAAAAAAAAGAAAGAAAAAAAAACCAAGTTGAAAAGTTAAGCCTAACACAACACGTGGAAGAATATATATATATAGTAGGAGAGTAAACTAATTGTAGGAATTGAAAAAAGAAAGATTTGTTAACTTTTCTAGGTTTGTATCTATAAGGTGACTAAACGTCCTCCTTTTATAGGTTCTGTCCTTCCTCGAAAAGTGTCCTACTTTTTGTCCTTCTTTTCAATATTTTAAAATTGATCTGTTAATCTCTATTTTCAGAGATAAACCAAGCATGTTTCCAAAATGTCGAAGAATGGTCTGAAAAAAAATATCACAGGAAATAAAAGTTTTCAATAGTGTTTTTTGACTTCATCACAATTAAATTGAGCAGATATAGAAAACTGTGTTGATTTTATTATCAAAAGAAATGCCTGATATTAAAATCGTTGACAATGGTTTGTTTGATGAAATTGGAAGACTGTATGTGCATTTAAATTATAATAAATTGGAACAATTGGAACATCAACATGCTGAAATTGATAAAAGATGGGTGAAAATACTTAACCATTTCAAAAATGAACCCATTCCATATAAAAATTTAGTTATTCTTTTTGAATTTACGTTGTGCTTCCCTGGAGCTAACGCAGCAGTTGAAAGAGTTTTTTTCAGTTGGTAATGATTTTTGTGAAGTGATTAGTGAGAAATCAAAATTGAATGTTAATATTTTAGCTACAGTGCTTACCGTAAAATTCAGTATGAAGGATATTTTTTGCCCGAACTTTCCGATGTATTAAAAAAATGATATGTTGACAAAAATCATTCATGGGGAAAATACTCGTTTAAGATAATAATTAAAAAGAATGTAAGCGTAATTAGCGTATTTTTGTTTGAATTAATGAAACGTTTCATATATATTTAAATTGTAATTTTTTCTTAAATTTTTCGTCCTTCTTTTCATTGTAAAAAAAATTGTCACCTTAGTATCAATCAAGTTTAAAGTATTGAATACTTTTACTTGTCATGTAGCTACTTCTAGTACCTGGAGATAAAAGCATCCTCATATAAGGGAACAGAAGTGTGATTGTGTAAAATAAAGTGTAAATATTGATAGCGCAAACCGCGTGACTGAATCTTGCATAAAACGAGATGTCTCTTTTCATTGAGTCATTCCAAGAATGTGAAGACTAGGACAAACATTCCCTTTGCTTCGCATTTACGGTGTTCTTCCCGTATACGCCGCAATTTTTTAAAAACTAAACACATCAATCAAAGTGAGTGATATATCATTTTTAGAGAAAATAAATAGATCTTATTTATGCTCCGGTTCGTTGACTATTATCAATCGATTGCATAAGCGAATAATTTACCTGAAACGACATATTAAGTCAGTGGCGTACACCCCCACAACTCCCAAATTGCGGGGGCAGGGTTCTAAGTGTCCTATATCCTAATTGACGCTAAGTATATAACCTTTATAAGATCCGCCTTGAGGCCCAAAACCTGACTTTGCAGGGGGGAGGGGGCTAATCATCTCCGTTACGCCACTGTATTCAATAGCATTTTTAGGTTCTAAATCTTTTTTAAGGCGTTGAAGAATCCTTACTAATATTATAAACGAGAAAGTTTGTATGAGATGTTTGTTACTCTTTCACGCAAAAACAACTGAATGGATTTTAATGAAACTTTACAATAATATAGCTTATACATCAGAATAACACTTAGGCTATAATTTATAAAGATATTGTGTGAAGTGTCCAAAATATAACAATAATTGTCAAAAAAGTAGGGAAAAAAATCTGCCATCTGCAAAAAGTCGCGACAGCATATATCTATCTTTTATGTAGTGAAGCAAAACTTTGCATTTTGTTTTGTCTACGCCAGGTGCCAGGAACTGCGAAAGCTTGAACAGGTGGAGTGTGAGGCTGATTACAATTTTAACATAAAATAAATACAACAAAAAGTAATATTAACGTATTACTCTTCCCCAGATATAAATTATTTACACTATTTCAAGCTTTCATTACACAAAATTTGTAACAATGTGTTACTTTTGCTGAGCAGAGATCAGCTTAGGAAAGTGTTTTCAAAAATCGACCCACAAGAGAGTTATAGATAAGAAAAAAAATCCTTTTTTATCAGCTATTAGATCTACAGACTTAAAATTTAACAAAACAGGGTTGTTTTTTTTTGTTCAGCTGAGATATGCAAAAAGTTTTTTTTGTTTAATTTGCAATCCACGTAAAATTAACTCATTACAAACTTCTTTATCCTTCAATCTGTATTGTTTAATTTTTCAATTCACCCGTGCGAAGGACGGGTATAACACCTAGTATACTAATAAACATAGATAATTAATGAAGGTTTATAAAAATTGCAAGAAAAATGTAAAAACAAAACCTGTTTTTGGATCAAAAGTTTAATATATCCATCATTATTATATATTGTTGGAAGTTTGCGTGAGGGGAATAAAGCAGCCGACGACTCCAATTATTTGAAATATAACAGATTTATTAATAGGCAAGGACGAACAAATGACGACACGAAGGCAAATCGACGTTTATACACAAAGAAATATTATAACAAATCATTTACAACAGCGCAAACCCCACTCGTTATAAACATGCTTTACAACTTTCCAAAAGCGGCTGGCTCTCTAAACAGTTCCACTACAGCAGGGGTGGGCAGACTTTTATATGGTACGGTCTACTCTAATTTTTCAATTCCTACTATTAACTCACACTCTATATATTTATTTATTTATATTGATAGAATTTTCAATCGTTATTAAAATACATTTTAAAGCGCTCGATTGAGCTGAAATTTAAATTACATGATTATTTTGAATGATAATACAGTAATTTAATTATAATTCATGAAAATTAATTGATTAAAACTAATTATTCAAAGAACTACAAATACAGCCACGTTGGCATCATTTTTGGCGTCTTAGTGACCATTTTGACGACTTGTTTCAAAACTTAAAAAGGATTTTTCTCACGTTTTAAAGCATTCAATTGAACTGAAATTTTATATACACGATTGTTTTGGATGACAATACGATACTTTAATGATAATAAATAAAAATTAATGACCACTTAATGTTGTGATTCTGTCATATGTATATACATATTTATATTAATTGTAACTAATTAATAAAAAGAGCAGCTAAACTAAAATTTTCTTTGTTGATCTAGTAGGAATTGACTTACGTTTTTTATATTACTTGTTTTAAAGGTGTTGCGGTCCATCTTGTGGCGTATAGGTGTGGCAAGCTACAAAAGAGCTCAATAATATTTATATATTCTAACAATAATACACATTCTAACAATTAATAATACTTACTTACATAATAACAATAAAAAAACTTACTCTTTTAAAACCACATTTTAAGCAAAATGCAAGATACAAACATAATAATTATACCCACAAATTTAATATATAACCTCAAATGTTGCATTTATTATCACAAACAATTTGAAATACGTTAAAAAATAAATCGCTTTCACATTTAAAGTTAGTTCTCGTAGAATTTTAGTCTCAGAAGAAGACTGCGTACTGTCCTCCCCAATCTTGAATATCTCGGTATATACTTACTAACTGCTAATCTTACACTGTATTCCAAGTGGTTCCCAAGCAAGCTTGGTACTAATTTATAGACCCACTGAAGGGATAAAAGGTTGAGATGACCTTGCCCAGCTCGGGATTTGAACCCTGGACCTGTGGCGTTGAAGCACGATACACTACCTATTCAGCCACTGGGTGCGCCTCTCGTTTTTAATCAACTCATCATAAAATATTTTTGAAATTTTTTAATTCGTTCATCAACTAAGCAGATATTAGCTTTAACTTGTTTTTGAAAGTATTAACGAATCCAATCAATTCTATCATTGTTCAATTTTTCTTTGCATTTTCCGCTTCTGTAGCGGTATCTACATAAGCCAGTAACAGCCTCCGGACAAGAGTAATCACTTTTGTCTAGTGGTCATGTTACTCGGCTACGAATCCATAGGTCGCGTGTTCTATCAACCTGATTTGCACCATCACAATTGTTGTCCAATTAATTGCAATTTAAATTCTTTTCCTTTTTGTTTATGCCAGTCGCTTTTTAAATGAAACTCTTTGATGCATAGTTTTGAAAAGCCTTTCAACGTTTTCTATTTTTTTTTAAGTGCCACACTTACATGACACAAACAGCACACACATTTTGCATTCACCATTGTAAAGAAAAACGGAGCTCTTTCCATTCTGTATTAAAATGGTATGTTTTCCTTTTCTTAACACTTATTTCCGACATTATACACCTCTTTTAAAATATGACAGATAACAAATTTTTTTTTTCTACAAAAACACAAGTAACATAAAATCTTCAAGTTGAATGTTTGACAAACTATGAGAGCGACAGCTAAATCGAGGAGTGTGGACGTTTTCAATGCAGCGAGCAGCAAATATACGTGAATCGATGAATCTATAACCGATTTATGTCCTTAACACGTTCTCTACCGAGTGCTTTATATCGCGGGACGTAATATCAAAACAAGAATCCAATCCTACGGAAGAGTGAGCTGGGGGTGATGTTTCAGTA